TTTTCTTTATTCCGTTTCATTTAGAAATTGAGTAGAAGTTGAGTTTACCCAAAAAAAAGGTAAGTCCCGACGTGCCTCGTTTATCTAGAAGTTGTTGATTTACAAGGAAGGTAATCTGAAAAATTAGGCAAGGAGACTCCATCTAGAGCTAACGGAACCAAAGGAAAAATATAATCGCATATTTGGTAGTAAATAAGAAAGAAATTAGAATTTGTGTGTGTTAAAGGCTTAGATGCTTAGGTTTCTGTTGAGAAAACCACTATACCAAAAGAAACTTCTAGAGCTTTCTAAGCCTCAAACAATATTATATTTTTAATAGCCACATTGACACCAACATGACTCAGAATAAGTCTCTAGAGACGTTCTGATATAAATAAAAAACGCATAATGGGTGCTTACTAAATAGATTTGACTTGGAGAGGAATGGGAAGAGTTGGATAGGTCCTATGTTGACTCCTACTCCATCTAGAAGTGGGTTGTTCTCCGTGAGCCATTAGATACTTATCTCCTACTCTAAACAATGGCCCATTGCTCCTTTCCTGATTAGGAGTGCACTGTAATCTGAACATTTTGTTTTTATCTTTGGGATGGCCAAGATTGAACCTCTGTTGAACTGGACTTACCTGAAGCTGTACAAGGCTGGGCTGGCCCATTTGCCCCTCCCCAAGCTGCCCAGTCTAGTTTTCCTTTTTCTTTTTTAGTCCAATCTAGGTTATTTTAGGCAGGGCAGGCTAGACTATATGATATTCTGATGTAGATCACTATTCTGACTGCCAATTTTAGTGGTTAGCATAGAAAAATTTATCTTACAGTGCCTGCTTTTGGAACCTGAACCCTTGGCTAACATCCTGCAAGAACTAATTAACAAAAGGTGACTCATTCATACTCCTAGAGAGCAACCTTCACATGTTGGTCCTTGAGTTCTATACAGAAACAACCTTCGTTTCAATTTATGATAGGCATTCAACTACATCACTGGACAGAGGAAAGGGGAAAGAAGTAGGATTCTTCAAGTTCCAGTTTATGATGCATCCCTTGTGTTCCAAAATTTGATGCATCCCTCTTATCTTGTTAGGAAGGTAATCTGAAAATAAGCATCACAACTGCAGTAATGCTTGCCACCAAGCCACATGTTGCAATTGGTCGTCTGATATTCTTTTGATGTCAATTTTGAATTAAATTTTGTTCATCTGTGGCACCACGTATCAAGTTGGTGTGGTAACTGCACCAACTTTTGAGATTTGGGTGACAATTGAACTCTTCTGTATAGTAAGATTCTGGTATATATGTTTCTTAAAAATAATTAGCCATGGTTGTGTGTAACTTTCGAAAACTTGTCATTTAGCTTCCTCTGTTTCAAAGATTGGAAAATGAATAAGCAAAACTATGGATTGCCTATCAAACAATGATTTAGTTTAATTCTATTTGAATTGCATCACTGATGACAGCAAATGAAATAATATTTTGATCTTCCTCTTAACCTATCTTTTATTACATCATAATCACATCATGCAAATTTTATTTTTCTGATTTTTTTTGTTTCATTTTCTTCAATTGTGCTATCATATGTATTCCTGCTCTTTAAAAGTTTAAGTTGTATTTAGTAATTTGAGGATTATTTGACTAATTTTAATTGCAATGATTCGGACTAAATTCTTTCACACAATCGTCTATTAAGTATTGTACCCCTCTTGAACATAAATGCTGGCTCCTTCTCAAATGCAATAACAATGTTACCAAATCATTTAGATAGGGCCAAGGCTGCCTAATCCTTTCAGCTTTCAGTCAACTATCAACCGTAGTACCACCACTAACTGATTTGCAATATCAACAACTTGTTGACTTGAAAATTTATTGAATTTGCGAAATCATTATTCATTGCGGTGGTAATATCAGTATTGTTGCTGCAATGTCCCAAAAATATGCAACTTCTGACCAGTTTGCATGGATATTGATGCAGGAAAAATGTATCTAAACACAAAACGAGTAGCATCCAACACAAAAAGAGTACCATGGATGCATAAATTAGAAGATATTTTGGGCTATTACTAATTTGACAAGCTTGTGTCAAAATTTCTTTATTGTTCTCTGACCTGTCTACATGCAATAGTAAATGCCTTTGAACATAGACTTATGTATGCATCATGTAAGCATATTCTTATCTATTAATGCCTTTTATGTCATTTCTTTGTTCGTAATTTTGAAAGAAAAAGTTTAGATTATTAGAATTAAAAGAACTTTACTGGCAACATAGATTTCTTTAAATTTCTTCTAAATTGCTTGTAACTTCTCGAAATTTTTAGTTCAGGTTCACATGTGTAACAAACTTGCTAGCCGGCATGTACGAGTAGGACTTGCTGACCCTAGTGAAGTTCCTCATTGTGACATATGTGAAAATGCACCCGGTATGCTTGTTATGATTTCAATGAAGTGTTTTTTTCTTTATACTAACTAACTGGGGATCTAACTTGATCACTTCATATCCATGTAGCCTTCTTTTATTGTGAGATAGATGGAAGTTCCTTATGCTTGCAGTGTGATATGGCTGTGCATGTTGGAGGAAAGAGAACCCATAGAAGATATCTATTGCTGAGGCAAAGGGTTGAGGTTAGTCAACAACATTAAGATGGCATGTATATATTTTATCTGAACTTTGATTAGATGTGTTTCTCTATGTAGTTTCCAGGCAGTAGATCCAGTCATATGGAAGAGCTTAAAACAAAAGCCAAGGACTTTGATGAACATAGGAGGGATCACAAAATGGTGATGACAGAGAAAATGACTAATCGCAAACTCTCTGCTGATCCTGCCTTAGATGCTACCAACAATCATGATGGCAAAATGGATTCAAATATGATTGATCTCAACACAAGACCTGTTCGAATTCATGAGCAAGCTTCCAATACACAGGTATCAATTGTTTGTCTTCCTTCTTTGGTTGCACATGGCTTAAAATTATAGTCATGATATATATTTTGTTTTGAAAGTTCACTGACTTCATGATTCATTGGATTTTTTTTTCTGATTGTTAAAGGCTCAGCAAATGGATCTTGCCAGTGATAATAATCATGACTCTCCAGGTGTGGTTCCTACTGGTCCCTTCCAGAACAGTGGGTAGAAGTGATGCAGTATGTTTCGATAATTTGCATATGTAAATTTTGTTTATTATATGTAGCCATTATTTATGTGTGCTCCTGAATGAAAAAGCACCCGCATGCTCGGACATACTAAGTCACCTATTTTACTATCACAATTGCAGTGTAATGCATATCCTGGGTTTCCGGGACTTCTTGTTCCTTTTGTGTACATTTGAAGTTCTTCAATCTGTATAAATGTCACTTATCATCATTTCACATGTACCACGCAGATTATCTTACAGGTTTTGGGTTTGGAGTTTTTTGAAATTTTCTGTATGCACATTGAGTAAATCCATTTTGAAGTTGGGTGAGCTAAGTACATTTTACTTTTATGTTCTACATTGTTCTCTCCATTTATGCTTCCAGTTATTGTGCAGGAATTACTAGGAGTGGCTCATGAAAGATTGTAAGTCATCACAGTCGTAGTTAAATAATGATATATTGATCACAGAATATTGCTACATTAGTTGTAATAGATATTTCGCATTAACTTTGACTGCCATTCATCAAGTTTGGCATCATGCTTAGTTCATATTTGTGTTGGTGTCATCTTAGTATAATGTTTTATGGTCTTAACCAAAATTCTTCTAGGAAGATAACTCTTTGGTTTTCATCTTAACATTGTATTTATGATCAAATTATGATCTCTGGATTCTCCACAAATTCATAGGAATGATAATGAATTTGCTATCAAACGGACCCAAATCACATCCTTAATTGATTTGCTTATTCTTCCACTGGGCCAACCTCTATCTAATTACTTGAAGTCCTCATGCAGGGTGCCAAATAGCAAACATTTATTAGATCAACTCAGTGGAAATTGATTTAATCAAGTTTGCTGGAATTGCACCTTATCTACCTAAGAACATGGTTTCTGCATTTAGATTTTTGTAGAAAGAATTATTTGGGACTCCTGAAAACTATTGGTAAGATTGCATGTAACTCGTGCCTTGTTAGCATTAGATTAACTTCAAATTCCATAAATGATGGTAGTATGCTACTGTAGGAACATTAAATTAAATAATTATATCACAATCCATTTCATTATTGATGCCTTGAAGGAAGGTTTGCCATTATTGAGAATCTCTCAGTAGTCAAAAGAGTATGTATAAGTATCCAAATCATCTTTGTTTTAACTAAGGATATTTTGGACATTATGCTTATTGTTATTGATGATGTTGGTGTAGTGAAAAGATTTAGATAAATGCATGATATGCTTTCTTCTCCATGCAAAAAACTTTCAGTGCAAGTGTCTCATTTCTTTTGGCAGCATCTCATGCTCTTGGTTTGCACAAGCAAAGCTTTCCATGAATCATAAAGGCATGAAGGAGGCTCAACAGGATGACTGAGAGGTAAGAGAGTGTAACTCTTCCTTTTTCATGGTTAAATATTTACTTCAAATTCTTTCACCCTCTTTCTTCTGTCATCTCCTGCACTTGTTTTTGGCAACAATAAATACCACAGCATGCAAACCTTATTATTTCCACCCACCCTCCCTCCCCCAAAAGGATCCAAAGTGAGTCTCCATAGCCAAACTTTTTGTTGGAAATTAATGTGTGCACAAGATAAATGTCATGTATGGGTTGACTTGGACCCACATTGTTGTTGAAAACCACATGAAGCAACTTCTGTTTCAACTTTATTTTCCAATAGAAGTCAATGACCCTCAAACTAGTCCATTGCTTGACCAACAACTACAACAGTTTCTTGTCCATTGATGCTCTAATTAATGATGTTTGATCCAAACAACTAGGAAAATAGGATGGCTCATTTGTCTTAGTTTTGACTCTATAAGAAGTTTTATTTAGATACATAAAGAACTCAAGTTTGGCTGGCTGTATAATCTGTAAAGAAAGACTTAAAAGCAAGCTTACTAAAGTTTAGAGTGAAACACAAGCATTAAAGTAGTGACTTGTGCCCACTGGTTTGCTACTATTTTTTGTTGTTGTGGAGTCATTGTCTTAACCATGAACGAGGAAGGGAGAGAGAGAGAGAGAGAGAGAGGCTGAAAAGCTTCTCATATGATTCCTCATATATCTTTGGTGGTGACCTGAGCTACTGTAACTGAGCCAAAAGGGAGAAGCTATTGGCTCGTCTTCAAAAGCTCATGAGATGACTTGTGCACTACTAAAGTTCGAGTTCTGAAAGCTGCTGGATTCCCAATCTGGACCTAAAGCAACCCCAAGTTAGATGGTGGTTTATGGACCCTTCTGTGTCCTCTTCATCTGCTGCACGAGTCCAGAAACAATTCCATCATAAAGTGTGGCAAAGCTTTTGCCTCTTCATATACTGCAAATCATATGTATCACTGCATGTCTACCTTTTTTGATCTCAACATGAATCATATTCAACAGTGCACAAGAAAGAGCTCCATTATGAACCTTAACAGTGAACCTGTGAACTCAACAACCTTCCACAATATACATGTCGACAAGCAAATATGCTGTGGACCAAAGCTAAGTTTGCCTCCACCCTTTTGGCTTTTGCTCACTTTATTAGCTCTCTCTACCATGGGCAATGGTGCCCTCTCTCCCACTAGCTTGTGGCCTCTCATGCCAATGGATGCATGTGATCAGCTGACAACTCCAGTCCTTTCTGCTAACTCTCTTCTCTCTCTTTTCCTCCCGTGATCTTCCTGTGTCAACTTATTCCTCTTGTATAAATGTTGGGAGTTATCCTCGCAAGGCGCCAACACGCATGAATCACTACTTAGATCTCTTCCTCACCCAGTTTGTAGCAGTCATGACACCCTTCTTGCTTCCACTCCTGCTGCTGCTTGCTCTGCCATTGCCATTGGCGAGAAGCCATGACTACCACGACGCATTGGCCAAATCCATTATGTTCTTTGAAGGCCAGAGGTCCGGCAAGCTGCCGGCGGACCAGCGCGCCGAGTGGCGCGGCGACTCGGCCTTGTTGGACGGGTCCGAGGTCGGAGTCGACCTCACCGGAGGGTACTACGACGCCGGGGACAACGTCAAGTTCGGCTTCCCCATGGCCTTCACCACCACGATGCTGTCGTGGAGCGTCATCGAGTTCGGCGACTGCATGCCGGCTGACGAGCTCCGCAACGCCGCGGCGGCCATCCGATGGGCCACGGACTACCTCCTCAAGACCGTCTCCCACCCCGGCATCGTCTTCGTTCAGGTCACCCCTCACCCTCACCTCTACTAATACCGCTACCGGCGGTGGTTTGCCTTGGTTTTGGACCTCAGTGGACTTAGTGGAGTTTACAGTAGGTGGGGAACCCTATAAGCGACCACAACTGCTGGGAGCGGCCGGAGGACATGGACACGGCGCGGACGGTATACTACGTGAGCGCGGACCGGCCGGGGTCCGAGGTGGCGGGCGAGACGGCGGCCGCATTGGCGGCGGCGTCGATGGTGTTCCGCCAGACCGACTCGGCCTACTCGCGGAAGCTGCTGAAGAATGCAATGAGGGTGTTCGAGTTCGCCGACACCCACAAGGGTGCTTACAGTGACGACCCCGGGCTCAAAGCTGGGGTGTGCCCCTTCTACTGTGATTTCGATGGATACCAGGCAAGTTCCTACTCTCTCTCTCTCTCTCTCTCCGAGCACTCCATTGTGCCATCGGTGGAGTTTCTTTAAGACCCAATAGTAAAACAGGACCTCCTACTGCGAAGAGCATGATGAGTTCTCTTTTGTCTATGGTGGAATGACAGAAGTCCATGAATCTAGCAAATATGATGACTGAAGCAGTATGCAACTTAAGGCATTACGAGAATCCCACAATCATCATGTGCAATCTACCATAGTACTTCAAGATCTATTAATTGCTTTGATCTCATCATGGGGCCCGTCGATGCTATCTTGTATATACATGCATCTCCTGTCTACAGATGACAGAATGAAAACAGCTTGAGATGTACATGCATCATACGCATTTACTTCACAAGCTTGGAACTATTCTCAGGATGAGTTACTGTGGGGAGCAGCATGGCTCAGAAGGGCCTCAAGAAACGATTCCTTCCTCAATTACATCCAAAACAATGGCAAAACTCTTGGAGCAGATGACAACATCAATGAGTTCGGATGGGACAACAAGCATGCCGGCCTCAATGTCCTCATCTCCAAGGTGCTACAATGTCCGATACCATTAACATCTCCTGCACTCACTCATGCTCCTTTGTCACTGTTGTGATGATGTCTGCAGGAGTTCATGGAAGGACAAGTGCTCTCGCTGGAGTCCTACAAAGAGTTTGCCGACAGCTTTATGTGCACACTGATACCGGAGTCTTTCTCCTCACACATCCAATACACTCCCGGTGGGCTCATCTACAAGCCCGGAGGCAGCAACATGCAGCATGTGACCTCCATCTCTTTCCTCCTCCTCGCCTACGCCAAGTACCTCGCCAAGTCTTCGCAGACTGTGAACTGTGGCAGCATCCAGGTTGCTCCATCGTCTCTTCAGCTTCAAGCCAAGAAGCAGGTACCCAAACTGGATGCTCTTCTATGCCTGTCTTGTCTGCAACACCGAGATCACCTTACCTCTTTGTGCCAGATTGATTACGTGCTGGGGGACAATCCGATGAACATGTCGTACATGGTTGGATATGGAGATCGATATCCGCAGCGAGTTCACCACCGGGGTTCTTCGTTGCCGTCAATCTCCAGCCATCCCAGGTTCATTGCATGCAAGGACGGCACAGATTACTACAGGTCTCCGAACCCTAACATCAACCCTCACGTCGGAGCGGTGGTCGGCGGCCCTTCCGACGACGACGTCTACGAGGATGACCGTGCGGATTTCCGCAAATCAGAGCCTACTACCTATATCAACGCTCCGTTGGTTGGCGCTCTGGCCTACTTTGTGGCGAACCCTAATGCAGGCCTTGTTCTTAGGTAGTGGCATGCATGGGGAGTTCCAAGTGTACATGAAACTGGAGTAACTAAAGAAAGGAAACAAAAGAAAAGAATGCCATGGGATTTGATTCATCGCAAACCAAAGAGTTATATGCATTTAGCCCCAAAAGTTTTTCCTTGAATGACATGTTCCTTTTTCACATCAATTAAGGGTATTACAGTTCAAGTTCCAACCATCTTTTACAAGGTTTAGATATTAATATTCCAACTTTTCAATCCATTTGACTTGGACTGTACCACAATAACATTGTAATGTTCAAACTATTCAAGGTTGCTACATGAATCTTTTATCCTAAGTTAAACTATAAGTATTTATATATTAATTTTATGATTTATAATAGTTTCTTGAAATCTATCTCTTTTCGGATAGTGTTAGGAAAAATCGTAGTCTAGCCCCGAGGTCATAGGTGTGTCCGAGGTAGAATGTTAAGTTTCCGAGGCTCTATCTAAGACCGATGTCAAAAGAAATTTTCTGACATAATCCCTTCGACGTTTAAGTTAGAGACTAAGGTCTCTTAGTAAGCGTGGGTTTTTCTTATAAAGAAAGCTCTCTAGCGTAGCGTTGAGGATTAACTTTTATGTTTGGCCTTGGAATGGACAATTTATAATTGTCATAACATTCCTCTTTTGACGTTTTGTCCAAATAGGCGACAAGCGGAAAATAGTCTCGAACAGTTTGTTTTTTACTTTCAGGTGATGAATTGAATGATGATTGACTATTAATATTTTTTCTATATTTCTTTATCTTCTATAACTAACGGTAGCATTATTGTAGCTTTTTTCACCAAAATTATAATATATAAAAATACAAATGAACATTTTTAGCATAACTTTTTAACATGCTTAGAACTGCTCAGGAACGCACAAATTGCATCAAGAGACTAAACATATCAGAAACTTGAATGTAAGAATTTAAACTGTTTTGGATTATTTTTTGTCCCCTCTCTTCTGAACACCCATATTCTCTTAAGAGAATCATAATTAGTTCTTTGGCATTTTTTCCATTGCACACAATAAATAAATATCACTCAGATTTGGCACCTTATGATAAACAGCAGTGCTTGCTGCACCCATTTTTCCAAAAAGAGCAAAATGTTCTAAAGAAAATAGTAATCAAAGGAGTCATCACATAATTATGGACAAATTTTTTTTCTAAAAATGCTTTTCTATTTCTCTTTTCTACTGCTAACTATATTTAGGCAATTATCTAAATATAACTTTGGGCAATTGCCTCATGATCATACTTATGATTCTTTTCTTTGGCTTCAAGATTTGTTAATTAAGTACATTCTCAACTATACTGGAGATTTGTTTTTATTAGTATGAATTCTGAGAAAAATATTTTTTTTTTGTTTTTCCTAAATGGGACCCTTTTTTCATGTTTTTCAAATAGTATCCCTATTTGTCATGATTCCTGAAAATGGATGATATTTGAAAAATATGATAAATAAAATACACAACTTAGAACATCTTTTTATTACAAATAATAAGATTATTCGTAATTATAGAAAATACATTTTTTTTCATCAAAATATTTCTAAGTGACATGTTCCGACAATATGAAAAAAAGAAAAGCTTATTATTATGACCTCTTCTTTACTATTGACAACCCATTTAAAAAATATTATTTTATTTATTTATAACTACAGTATTATTGATTTTATCTTTTTTTTTTCCTATAACCTCTTCTTTTATTCTTGTTAATGTCGCTTGATATCATCTGACCTTGCTTGTTGCCCTTTCAATATTATCCTCCGAACAATAAGAGTAGGTGGAGAAAGAAGAATAGAGTATTTACGTTAATTTACAAATGAGTAGTTTAGAAATAATCAAAATTTTAAAATACGTTTGTAAATAATAAAAAAAGGGTTACAAATAGTGAAGAGATTACTATTTGCAACTCCTTTTTTTTAATCTATAACCTCATGTTAAGCATTTTAAATATTTCTAAGTTATCCCTTTATAAATAGATATATATGTCTTGAATTTATAACTTAATTCTAATAAAATCTTTTTACTCCTTACAATATTTTTTTTTCTTTTTTTTCCCCTCCTTCTCTCCGTTCTTATTTTAACCATCAAAGGTGATATAAAATAACGAAGAAAAAATAGATGATGAAATGAGATAAACTAAAGATCAAAGAGGACAAAGTGTGAAAGAGTTAACCTTTGGATCGATCGAATTAACTTAAAAACTATTCGATAAGATACATAATGATGGAGAGAATCGATGACAATATGATATACAGGTGAGACTATGGGAAAGGAAAAATAAGAAAAAAATTATGATAAAAATGAAATTAAAGGGATTATAAATAATAAAAATATTTTTTTTACAGGATTATGAATAGTAACAAAGAGCTTTAAAAGAAATCTTCAATAGTAATCTCCAAAAAGAATATTTAATCAGAATTACTTGATTACCCCCCTACTATTCTCAAAGTTACATTGATACCCTTAACTAAACTCAAATTTCCTACGCGTCCTCGGTCGGCTGGGTCGAGCAAAGATCACCTACTAAACTTTGTCTACCAACATCTTCCTCATTCCACGTGGCACACTCTATCGTGGATGGAAGGCTCAAATGGCCTGCCTTCTGTGAGAGCCAGATGGCGTGGGTACAACGAAAGCTACCTACGTGGTACATATATATATAGACGCATACGAAACATTGCTTCGCTGTAATCTCGGGCTCAGCAGATCGGTGCGCAAGAAACGGCAGGAGATCGAGAAGACCGCAAGGCGCATCGCGATGCAGCAGGTCCAGCATCAACCGAGATCGGCGGGGACAACGAGGCGGCGGCGGTGCGAGAGCACGTCCATGGGTATCACCACCTTCGATCTCCACCCCGGCCGCGGCTTCGGGCCCTTCACCCTCGGTGATCGTCTTCTCTCGACTTCTCGTCTCGCGCTACTACTGCTTCTCGTCCCGCCCCTTTAAAGATCGGTTTCTTGTGTCTTGGTTTTTGAGATGGATGATTGCGTCTGTTGCGCCGCCAATTCGTTTTGAGGGTTTCAGCTAATATCAAAAGTCGAGTCTTCGATGACGCCCCCATCATCTTCTCATCTGTGGGTTTGATACATTGGGTGCGGAATTTAGCCATTGACGCCGACAACCGCTTTCCTAGATCATAATTTTGTTATTCCTACGGCTTTCTTTTGCATTGGATTGAAACTCATATTTAATTGAAGCTATGACAAAATGGGCAGTGTAGATTTTGTGAAGAACAATAACCTAAAATTTGAGGTTAATATTTGCAATTTTTATGAAAAAACCTGTATGTTCTGATCATCAAACCTTCAGAGCATCTACGAACCTGCTAAAATGTAGAATTAAGCATATTGGAGATATCGTATTTGTTTTTAGATATATGGTTAATTGGTTTACAAATTCTTGGAAAGACAACTTTGCATGAGAAGGGAATTGCTCTTGTATAAACCATCTCAATTGAAAATAAATATATCTTACAAAATATGTACTTTTTGTTGCTAAGCCTTTTGATTGTCTTCTAAAAATTCTATAGAGGGTAACACTGATAAGTGCAGCTTGGGGCATGTCTCCAGTATTCTTGATAATTGTACAATTAGAGTCAAAGTTCCTGACAAGGGGGTGGGCCTGTATCCAGTACACTAAGTTGTCAATGAGTATGCAGTTAGAGACACTTCTTTGCTTGCACGAAAACGCTGCATGCATTAACTCCCCTTGAACCCTGCATCGGTGGGTGTGCACTGAGCCATTCTTCGTTAGACAAAGTTTGTGACATCATGATTTTCAAATTCTGTTTTATCTACCGGAATTTTCTTTTTAGTAGATGACTGCACATTGAGTCTGAGGAGAAAGCAATTAGTTGACTTACCAGTCTTCTTTGAACTTCTAACCCTATTGGCTAGTAAAATTGACACAAACTGAAATGGTTGAAATCTAGATATGAAAATTCCTTTTGTGGTTCTCTGACAGTAGAACAGGCCTCTTAGTCATCTTTGATATCTGTCATGGTCTTATTGTTTTCTCAAAAATGGAATAAATTTTGTTCATTTGACTTGTTTTCATAATTCCTGAAACCATTTTAAGCATTTGCTTCTCTTTTATGCCCTGTCTCCACTTTTTGACATTTGTGCAATCCGATATAGGGATGCCTTTACACGAAGCATTTGCTCAAGTAGATCATCAACCTAACATCTATGATGTGGTTCATGTGAAGTATTTTGATGAGGTCAGTACCCAGTTATTTTTTCATAGTTAATATGTTAGCATGAACATGACCTATTTGCTATTTTTTAAAGCTGCACATCTGGAGCATGTGATATGTAGTCTAAATAGCTATAGCTAAATGTTAGTTATTATGTTTCATATTGAAGTTTGTAATATGTAAACATTGAACAAATAGATGCATAAATGAAGGACCTTTTTTCCATAGTCATGCCCTTGTTGTTGCTTCTCAGTACCTTGTTAAAAGGCATCACAGAATGAGATACTTGAGAGATTTTCTTGAATAACTATCACAATCATGGTTCGCATTATCGATCTGTACCGATGTACCGATTAGCTATCGGTACGATATGTATCAAGCTGTACCAAGCTGTACCAAGTATACTGATACACGATACATTGGGGTATACCAATATACCACCCATACCGGTCCTCTATCGGACTGGTACGTATTGCTCGTACCGAGTGGTACGTTTCGGTATGTCAAACCTTGATCACAACTACTGCACCAAATTGATGCATCAACCAAGGACTTTTTTTCCGTAGTAATGCCCTTTTTGTTGCTTCTCAGTACCTTGTTAAAAGGCATCAATGAATGACTAATGCTTGAGAGATTTTCTTGAATAACTATCATGACTCCTGTACCAAATAGATGCATCAGCCAAGGACCTTTTTTCCGTACTCATGCCCTTTTTGTTGCTTTTCAGTACCTTGTTAAAAGGCATCACAGAATGACTAACACTTGAAAGATTTTCTTAAATAACTATCACAACTCCTGGGCTAAATCAAGTCTTTTATCTGGAACATTGTAACATGTTCTATGTTTACCCATATATCTATAAAATACTTTATTCTTGCAATTGATTGGTTTATTTCTCAACTGTAGCACATGGTTCCATGTGCCAATTGAGGTTTCTGTTTTAACTGTGTATTCACTTCCACGTATGCTTGTCTTACCTCTTGATGTAACTAGTATATCCCTGTC